CCATTCAGTCAACTTCATTGACTCTAGACTGCAGAGAACATCGTCGTCCCCACAGCAAGATGCTCAGTACAATCCTGTTGAACCTATTCTTGGAGCAAATCCATCTCCTTTACATAGAACATCATCGTACCCACAACAAGAGACTCAGTACAGTAATACTGAACCAATTCCTGTGCCTAAGTCATCATTCATTTCGTACCCACCATCTGGTGCAGCATCTCATTCTTCACCTAGTCAGCCACATCATGTGAACATGCCATCTCCTCCCACTGCATTCCAGTTATCTATGTCTTCTGCACAAAATGATCTGCCCCTTCCCCAGTTCCATCATGGAGGTACGCCTCCAGCACTATCGGAGACGGCTTCTTTGTCGAGTGTCCTAGACTTTGCCGAGTGTTTTTTATTGGGCACTCGGCAAAGAGGCTGTTTACCGAGTGTCAGAGAGAAAGCACTCGGCGAACAACTGACACTCGGCAAAGAGGTGGTTTGCCGAGTGCCGAGCACTCGGCAAACAATAACACTCGGTAAAACTCGTCTTTGCCGAGTGTTATTATCCTGACACTCGGCAAAGAGCCGCCGCCGGTGATTTGCCGAGTGTCATTTTTTGACACTCGGCAAACCATATTTTTTTCGCTTTTGACCTCCAAACTTTTTCTGCGGTCCTCATATAATACCTGGTACTCCATGTTCCAATGTGGCACATTTCTCGGACTTTTTCTATATTTCTTTAAATTATTTTATTTAATTGAATTTTCTTGAATAATTCAAATTATAACCGTCCGTCATTCGAATAATGAAAAAAATGAATGGAAAAATAATATTCATGTTATTTAGTATAATGTGAGGCTATATCCAGGACCATACCACCAATTTCAAACATCTTGTTCACGAAACATGACCACGAACTTGCGATCGAGTTGTGTTTAAATTCTATAAAAAGCAAACGAAGTCCGAAAATAATGAAACTTGTCATGATGTCATGATATCATACGTGGAGGCTGTGATAAAAATTTGAGAAGGTTTCGCGTAAGTTGTCACGTACGATGCTCGCAAATCAAAGAATCTCCGAAGAAGTTTCATGATTTCGTGAAAAGGCCGACGAGGTGGTAAGTATCGTACGTGACAACTTGCGTGAAACCTTCTCAAATTTTTATCACAACCTCTACATATGATATCATGACATCTTGATAAGTTTCATGATTTTCGGACTTCGTTTGTTTTTTATAGAATTTAAAAACAACTCGACAGCAAGTTTGTGGTCATGTTGTCATGTTTCGTGAATAAGATGTTTGAAATTGGTGGTTTGTTTCTGGATACGGCCTCACATTATACTAAATAACATGAATATCATTTTTCCATTTTTTTTTTTCATTATTCGAATGACTAGTAGTTATAATTTGAATTATCCAAGAAAATTCAATTAAATGAAATAAATTAAAGAAATATAGAAAAAGTCCGAGAAATGTGCCACATTGGAACATAGAGTACCAGGTATTGTATGAGGACTACAGAAAAAGTTTGGAGGTCAAAAAAAAAAAAATATATAGTTTGCCGAGTGTCAAAAAATAACACTCGGTAAATTACTGTTTTACCGAGTGCCAGGACGGATAGCACTTCAGCCAAGAATTTTTTTAAAAAAATTAAAAATCCCTCTTTGCCGAGTGTGAGTCTGGGACACTCGACAAACAATTTTTCGACACTCGGCAAAGGATTAAAAAAATAAAAAAAACTTTGCCGATCGTTAGATCGGGGCACTCGGCAAAGGGATTTAACCTCTCGGCCCACACACATCGCACACACTCACACACGCACGCCCACGCCCGCGGCAGCGCCGCCGGCGCCCGCCCGCACCCACGCCAGCGCCGCCCGCGCCCGCGCCCGCGCCGCTGCAGCCCTCACCCGCGTCCGCGCAGCCAGAGGAGGAGGAGAGGGGCCGAGGTGCCCGCGCACCGGGGAGGCGAGGCCGTGGGGCGGACATCTCTCCCCACTGCCTGGACGACGACAATCTACGTCGATCCGTGACCGGGCGGCTTGGATCCATGGACGACGGCTTCGATCCAGAAGACGGCGGCCTCCTTCGGTCTTTCCCAACCCAAATCCACCGCGGCGCCGCCCTCTCCTCCGTCCGGCGGATTCACAACCTGAGGACGCCGTGAGGATGGAGGTCAACCTCGTGCTTGATGGGTCCTCCCCGGCCTCCGCTCTAGGTGGCGCCCTCACCTCCATCCCCCAATTCCTCCCCAAAGGTAATGGCGATCTGTGATGCTCTATTTGCCTCTAATCCCCCCCTTTCTAGAACCCGTGATCTCAGTGAAACTCTATTCTATTGGGACGGTGGAAGATGCAACTACTTTTCTAGAACCCTATTGATGTGTCTATGCGCGATTAGTGGAAGGGGAAGGCGAATACTGAATGCTCAGACATTAGACCTGATTTTCCTTGTTTGTGATGCAATACTGTATGCTCATAGGATTTCTAATTAAGCAACTTGACTATTCCAGTCCAAAATTAGGTTGCAGTCAATGCTGCGCTGACAGAGATTGTGAATTTCAAGGCTGGTTTTCGAGTAGTTTGGTGTTTCTTTGTCAAGCCCACGATACTCACAAGATCAGCATGTTATCATAAGCGAAACATGTATTTAAGTCTTACTGCTTATTGAAACTTTACGCAATTTAAAAAACTTTACTAAAGCAGTATTATTGTTTGTACCAAAATTGAAATGTCATGTTTGTTCCAATGGTGCATACGTCTCTTATGCTAGTAAAAAAGCACTTCCTAACCATATGTGCAATATGGCCTGCTGCTCATTCTCTTATTTAGCATACCTGTCTAAATAACTCTGCATAAATAACTCTGCATGTAGGGAATGCTTTTTATTTTTTATTTCTGTTCTATTTGATTTAGAAGCTTAGTGCTTTGCTCTTTTCTTTTCTTTTCAGCAACAACAATCAGCAATAGCTATGCTATAATTTGTCAGTTCTCTTGTGCAGTTAGATGAGGCCTTCGGATGTGGTCGTCGCTTTACTCTTGTGGGTTGACTTCATCAGCATACAGCACAGATTCTACAGCAATGCACATGGTGCTGAAATAGTGTCCAGGTATTACTAGTTCCAGCAATTATCAGACTAAATGTTATTTCTCAAATGATTTTGGGTCAACTTGCCTTGTCTTTCTATGGATTCAGATTTGAATTTTTTTTCTGTATTTTGGTATGATCATGACAATTATCTTAAATAATATTTTCAATGGGTGTAGACTTTGGTTGAGTACCAAATAATTTTGATCGTGCCTCTCCATGAAAGTAGCTTTCTCTATAATAATCAATTTCATCACAATTTGTAAATGAGGAAATGTGGCTAGCTACATCCTGAATATTATAAAGAATAGATTTCATGATCTGAGTACATTTTATAAAATCCTTCAAGGTTTGCAAAGACAGCAAATCTTGACTGATATCTCTTCAAACTGTGAACTAAACAAGCATTATCCTTGCCTCTGAATTGCATTGAAAGTAGACGTTATTGATAGGACTGTAAACTATAAAGTCAGTAGTAAGAACTGACTGCTTGCATTTGGTAAATTTAAACTTATTTTATTGCCATATAATAATCTGATTCGAATATGTATGATTCACTTGCAAGGTTGTTAGCAATGTCAAATGGCCTGTTCAGAAACTTATTTTATTTCCTTTGCTTGGATTTGGGTTTTGGATCTCGGTGAGGACAGGTGCAAGTCCATCAGTTCTTGTGCTTCTCAGGTTGTGTTGGTCCATCAGTTCTTGTGCTTCTCAGGTTGTGTCGGTAGTTAGCTTGTCTCTGTAATTGCAAAATTTCCTCAGTTTCAGTACATGCTTTTCAGTGAAGGCAGAACGAAATAGTTGAAATGGCTTTGCATGTACTTGCAGTTTGGTTTCAAGAGCTAGCAGTTTATAGTTTTGGAGCTTAGTGGATTTTCAAATGCTAATTAGAGCTTTTGTTAGCCTAGGTATTGTTAGATCTATTTAAGCTCATTACTTGGTACTTATTTTCTTTTAGTTCATTACTGGCTACTTTTTTTTTGTGCTGTTTGGTTCATTTGCAGGTTAAAGCAAGGAGTAAAGCGAGCAACATGGGAGCTACAGATTTTTTTGAGCTGTGTTTTAATATTCTGGTGCACTTATTGTTTGTAATATTCTCGTTCATTTTATGATTGAGTTGGGCTGTTAATAATCTGGATTTGAATGTCACGTTACGTGGCCTGTGCTGTTATAATGGGCCTTGCTCATTTTGATATATATGTGGTGTTATTTATATGTGACGTTTGTTCATTTTGTTCATTTTGATGGAGCACTTGGATTACTTCTGAACTTATTTGTGATATATTGTGAGACATGTGACGTTTGTGATATATATGTGGTGTTGGTGATATATATGTGTTGTTGATGATATATATGTGATGTTGGTGATGTTTGTTATATATATCTTGTGTTTGTTTGGATGGAATGTAAAAAACAAATAAAAATGCTGTTTTCAGTCACTTTGCCGAGTGCAATGGCCATGACACTCGGCAAAGTGACGACCTGGGAACATGCCTGGGAACATGCTTTGCCGAGTGCAAAGGCCATTGCACTCGGCAAACATCACAGATTTGTCGAGTGCCATGGGCCAGGCACTCGGCAAAGGTCGCCTGTTTGCCGAGTGTCTTGCCGGGCACTCGGCACAGTGGCTACCTTTGCCGAGTGTCTGAGTCAACGGCGCTCGGCAAAGAGGCGACCTTTGCCGAGTGCTTGACCTTGACGCTCGGCAAAGCCGCCGTCACGGCGACTTTTTTTTGCCGAGTTTGCCGAGTGTCCGATAAAGTGCACTCGACAAAGAGGTTTTTGCCGATCAACTGTTTACCGAGCACCCTTTGCCGAGTGTATATCGGCCTTTGCCGAGTGTATATCGGCCTTTGCCGAGTGCCTCTCCGGTAGCGCAGGACCTCCATTTGGTAGACAGAATCATGTTTTAAATAGCGGATCAATGCATGGGAACGGTCCCAGGTTTGATGCCTCATCAATTGCAACGTCCCAATGGACTGATGCCACCTCAAATGCAGCCACCTCGTCAACATGGAATGCTGCCAGTACAACAGTCTCACCACAGTTCTCACAACTACATGCACAGATGATTGCTCCCCATCATTCCCCACCACAAAGCATGCAGATGTTTGGTCCTCAGCATCCTTCACAAGTGATGAGTAGATTTGATGCAAATTTTGCTATGCCTGACTTGAGTGATCCAAGAGCAAGATCAATGTTGCAACATGGAAGGCTGGGACAGCGATATCCTCACCAAGGTTATGAGCTCAATAATATTAGGATGGATAATGGATGGCCACGGTTCAGATCCAAGTACATGTCTACTGAAGAAATCGAGAACATTGCAAGGATGCAGCAAGCTGCCACACACATCAATGACCCATATATTGATGATTACTACCATCAAGCTTGTTTAGCAAAAAAATCAGCAGGTGCTCAACTAAAGCACCACTTGTGTCCAACCTTGATTAGAGATCCATCTTCGCGTGCACGCCGTAAGGATGAGCCACATGCGTATCTACAGGTTGATGCTCTTGGGAGGCTTCCATTTTCTTCGATCCGTAGGCCTCGTCCGCTTCTTGATGTTGAACAAGCCTCTGCACCAAGTGATAATGCTGAAAAATCTGTGTCAAAGCCTCTTGACCAAGAGCCCATGCTTGCTGCTAGGATCACAATTGAAGACGGACTTTGCCTACTGCTTGATGTTGATGATATTGATCGTCTGCTGCAATTTAGCCAGCAGCAAGATGGTGGTTTGCAACTGAGAAACAGAAGACAGGGACTCCTCGAGCAGCTTGCAGAATCACTGCAGTTAGTTGATCCCCTTGCACCAAATAAGAATTCACCTCTGTCTCCATATGATGATTTGGTGTTTCTTCGCATAGTCACTCTACCAAAGGGCCGGAAACTACTTTCCCGTTACCTTGAACTTGTGACATCAGGCAGTGAGCTTGCAAGGATAGTTTGCATGGCAGTCTTCCGGCATCTAAGATCCATATTTGGAAATATGCCCTCTGATATCAGTGCAGCGGAGACAATGACTAGACTTGCAAGAGCTGTATCCACACGTATTGTTCGGATGGAGTTGAGTGATCTCAGTGCTTGCCTTGCTGCTATTGTGTGTTCATCATTGCAACCACCTCTTTGACCCCTTGGATCCCCAGCAGGTGATTGGGCTTCTGTCATCATAAAGTCTGTACTGGACAGAGCGACAGTTCTACTCACTGATCAGCACGTGGCTTCTAACTACAGTATGCAGAATCGAGCTCTATGGCAGGCATCATTTGATGCCTTTTTCGGGCTGCTCACACAGTACTGCATGAGTAAGTTTGATAGTGTGGTTCATACTGCCCAATTGCAACCTGCTGCAGCAGCAGTTATAACCAGGGAAATGCCAGTAGAGCTTCTGCGTGCCAGCCTCCCTCATACCAATGAGGATCAACGCAAGCAATTGCTCAGTTTTGCTCAACGCACTGTGCCTGTTGGCACCCATAGTTCTCATGGGTCTGGTAGTGGACCCATGACATAAGATTCTCAGAAGAAATGAGTGGAAGCATCGAGTTCTTATTAGTAATGGGTACTCGCTAAAAATGGCTCTTAAAGGGGTCTGTTATGCTTTCCCCTGAAAGAAGAGAAGGTTAAACTTGTCATTTTCCCCTGAAAGGAGAGAAGGTTAAACTTGTCACTAGTACTATGAATATCAAGAAACAAGAGTAAAGATGGTTGGAGCATCAATGGTAATACACAGCTTCAAATTTTTTGTCACTCAAAGATGTCTGTATTGATTACTTTTGTAGGGTAGCCAGATGTCTGCATCTATTTTGCCAATACCTGTGTTGGTTATTGCAAAATGATTCCTGTGGGTCTGTTGCTCTTAAGAGGAAACCCCAATTGGTCTGTAGCTGTTACTTGAAGACACTGTTTATTTGCTCTTCAAGGTGGTTCGTTTCAAGGAGTAGTTGCCTTGGCCTCAAGATGTGGAAGTTGGCATAGCCACAACACGTACGTGAGTCATTTTAGTTCTTCAGGAACAATGCGGTTGCTATGGAAGTTGTAAAATAGTTAGTATTGTTTTGGGACGGCCTTTTGCCTTTTGAGAACACCATTACAACTGATGTTGCCCGTTTCTCTATGCTTGATGTGCAGAAAGTGGATAAGCTTGCAAGTATCCTTGCTGAATTGTGACGGTTTTTTTTTGGATAAATAGGTGCCCCTCTTCTTTTTATTTTGAAGCACTGATTTTGTATGGAAACTCCGTGTTTGATGAACATCTTGATTACAGCATGCGTTAGGTATCAATTTATCTGTTTTGATATCATACCTATGTCATTTTTGTCTCTGGATTGTATTGTACTTCACTAGGGTAATATCTGCCGGCCACAAACGGAGACAAACAACATTTTACTTTATAATGTCTTTTCGCTGGTATACCAAATCAAGGGGTGGCTGCTGGAATTATGGGCTAGGGACGATTTGTTTCTGAATTCATATATTTTTTTAACTTAAACCAAAGTCCAGATTTACTGTAGCAATCGTAAATACCCACTCTAGATGCGAATGAAAGAATTGAGCAAACTTACAATAATTGTTTTCTAAAAGTATTCTTCAAGATGATATTTTGATGTTCCAAATGTTAATATTTGAATAGTTGGCGATCATGAGAGTTGCAAGAATTTAACTAGATTTTTTTTGGAAGCTCGAAGCTTGGTATTTGTGAATAGAGGGGGGGTACATTTAAGTACTCCGTTCACAAAAGGATACAACTATAAAATTTGTGTAGGTTAAACTTGCTTAACTTCAGTTAAATTTATGGTGAATAGCATATTAGCATTTGGCCTTGATAAGTCAAGAATCATATGGGGTCGAGGAGCCAAACTTATGTCATTTTTGCACAGTAATTCATTTGACGCCTTCAAGATCTGTTACAGTCAAGCTTTACAAACGGGATGGCATCTAAGGAATGCTAATTGCGGCAGCCGCAATATATGGTGCACAGGCTCGTCTTCACTTATGCAGCACCAACATGGTGTTTGGTTATCAGCTTGCAGCGTTCAGGTGTATCAATTACAGTCACTACTGGTTGAAACATATGGAAATAGGTGTGGCATTTGTGAAGCTGACAGTATAATCAATGATGCAATTTTTATTGGTGCCACTTGATGTTGGATTGCTAAATCATTGTTGTTGGTTGAGAGCAAAAATTTTGCAGTCACATATATTGATATGAAGACTTGGTTGGAACTCAATTTGACATGTCTTTGGTAAGCATCTCACATCTACTTCTTCATTGAGGACCAATTCAACTGCTAGTAACTTGAATATTTCTGAGACTGAGGTTATCGCCAAACTGCAACAGCCATGGCCACCTCCTGAAATACTTTATGCTAACATTAACAATGAGTTGGTTGAGACATGTTCAGTTGCCAGCCAGCTGCTTGTTCTTGATTGTGTAGTGGTGGCCAAAGTTCAACTGGAGATCATGTCTGATGGAGCTAAGCTACTGCCAACACCGTGGCTCTCTTTCAGTTCTATAGATACCATCAGGTTGCAGTGAAGTTCTTCGAACAATTGACATGTGAAGAATTCAATTACAGGAATATGGATTTTGTTCCAGCCACCATGGCAGTATTAGCATCAGTGGAAGCTATGTTCGTGGACCATCTTGTTAAACAGGTGGAGGATTCACCATTGGATGACCTTTCCCAAGGACATTGCTGGTGGCATTATGATCTTTGATGAAAGTTTCTCTACATTGGCTTGAGGGCAAGCCAAAATTTAAGAGGGAGGGGATGTTAGTGACTATGTACTTGTGGGCCAACACGCGCAAGCCCAAAGCAGGAGCAGACAAGAGTACAAAGGAAGGCAACAGAGGTGGAAGCCATCGACGTTATTCAGAAACAGACTTCCTCTTCCTCCTCCTATACTACTATTCCTCTTCCTCCTCCTCCAGATTTCCCTTCCAGCTACCTTTCCTGATGTATCTCAGTCTATTTCTTTGATCCTGTGCTTGCTCTCTTATCTATTCTGTCTCTCAGATTGTATCAAATCATGTTACCAGTGTGTTGGGTTGCTAACAGATACATATTGAACACATGGATAGGCTATTTTAGAACACTACAGCAAATCGGTAAAAGAGCTTGCAGTACCAGCTACAAGACGATAACAATGGGGACAGCTGAAATTCGAACTCAATGGCTTGTGCCCCAATATATAAAACTCTAGTTGAGTAAATAGAAGTAGCATAACCTAAATTTTTGCACTTGGGCTACTAATTGACACAGTGACATCCCCACCGCACCAAGATAGATGGAAACAAATCGAAGTGCATCCTAATTCATCAACCCACGATAAGAGTTGAATTTGGCAGTTAACTTACATAAACCCTATGGAACGGTCACTCAGCCTGATCACGTGCACCATTCAGTTGTGGGAAAGTAGGAGGCCATACCATCATAAAGGGATGGATATCAAGGTCCAATATTTCAGACTCCTGCAAGTGATGCACCTTCTTCACCACCCTGCTCCTGATATGCATGTAGAATACCTCGTGCTCTATTTGCAAGAACACAAAATCAGCATGGTCCCCGACGGCAGTCACTCGAACAGCAACACCCTGTACTAGCCAAGTAGAATTGGCAAGATCACCGAACACCTGATGCAGGCATATGGAATCGACCAGCTCCCAATTACCATTGCTGCAGCCTGTGCTATGGAGCCATACATGGATGTGAGTGGCAACGGCCGTGAGACGACCAGTAAATATCATGTTACAGTTCTCGCTTTAGCCCGTGAGACGCTCTAAGGTAAGCCGGCTGAAGCCGATTTACTGTGAGAGAAAAATATTATTCCACAACTGATAAGTCAAGTTGATAAGTTCAAGTGAATAGGGCTAGATAGAGCTTCGCTCCTGACTTCTTCGGAGCAGATTTGTAGACCTCTACCAAACGCTTAAAAATCAACTAAATTCTGATAGGAAGGTGACAAGAATTATTTCTCTATTAACACTATATAAGCTGGGGCTAAAAAACCTGCTCCTCGCTGCTCCTCATTTAATCACACTAGAATCACTTCAGAATCGGTCTCACCTTCTCTCCACCTGCTGCTACACAAGAATAACTATTGAAGAATAAAGAAGTGAAGTTCGAGAATCAGGAAGGGGAGCTATGCCAAACTTGCTCTGACTTTTTAGAGCTACTCCATGAGGCTCTTTATATCCTTCAAGAACAAAGATTTTGGTGAAACCAACAGTTTCTTTAATTAGATATCTAAATATTGTTTGTTTATTTTAGCTTTCTCGCTAGCCAAAGATGAGGGTGACCAACCCCGGCACGGTGGCCCGAGCGTAGGCAATCAATCACGGCGGCCCCAGCGTGGCGAAACCTGGTAAGGAGGCCCTATGATGCGGGTGCCAACCCTGCCCCACCTCGAGCGACGCAGGCCCCTGGTGCGGTGGCCGCACACCATCCAACCCCAAGCGCCTCCTGTTTAGAGCACGCGGTGCCAACGTCTCCCCCAATCTTTCTTTTTCTATTAGATCTAGATTTTCCTCACCCTCTCTCAGATCTGGCGGTGGCGCCATCGTGGCATGAAGAGGCAACAGGACAATGGCTACTGTTGGTAGCTAGATTTTTTTTCTAATTATCACCGACGGCCACTTTCACTACACTACTAGAAATCCTTTTATCTATGACGTTTTGGGAATGATGATTCTAATTTTGGTCACAGAATAAGGTTAATTCATGACGATTTTACCTAGATCGTTATGGATGCTTGGTTTGGCTGTCAACCCCTTTGTTCAACTGTGACGAATCGAAAAAAATCGTCATACAAATGTTCTGAGCTTTGTCATAGAAATGAAACTATTAAGAGAGAATTCCTTATTTAACACTGGGAAATGAGTCGTTCCTTTCTTGGCCCTGAAATTTTCTTCGTTCCCTATTTGACACTCACTTCAACTTTCATCCCTAATTTGACACTACCGTCAAATCCGTTAGCTAATGAGTGTTAAGACATTTATTAAAAAGCGTTTTTTACCCCTAAAAAAAAGCGGCGAAGCAAATTTGAGAGGAAAAAAAATCTGCGCCTTTTTTTTGCATTGGCGCATGCATCGAGAGAAGCGGGGCAGGTTTTTTTTTTCCTCTCAAATTT